GTGAATTTGTAGCATGAATACATTTTAAATGTCAAACAAAAAAATGAAAACTTGTAAAATAATTATCAAATGTTTTTAAATTCCCCAAATTTGAGATTAATTAGCTAGAGAAAAACTAAGCGAGTCTAATCAATATATAACATATTTGTTATAAATCATATCCATAAAAATTCAGTACCTTTATATTTTATAGAAAATTTCCCAATGATAAATGTGATTTGATTTTTAATTTATTTTTACTTGAAACAGATGACATTGTAAAATATTTACTTAGTCCAAATCTAATCAATTGATAATACCTTATCTCTTAAAAATCTTGCAAATAATCAATTCATATCAGTTCCCAAGGGAAAGTAAACATTAATTATAGTAAATATGCTTCCCCTAGACAGAGCCAACAAGGTGCAGTTTCCACAGTCATTAATAAACAGATATAATAGAAAACAGTCTTTCAGTCTACTTTAAATATGTTTCTTTCAACATTAAACACATTTATGTACCTAAGTAATCTGTACTGCAGGGAAATAGCAAAGAGATAATCTCAAACACAGGGAAAACTACAGAGCCAATTTCCAGGAAAAAAAAAATCTGACAACAATTTGAGGAAATCTTCCTATCAGAAAGTCTATTTGCATACCTACAATTAGCACTGATACTTCAGAAACAACAAAATGGTTTCAAAGTGATGACTGCATTGGTCCAGATTAATAGCAGTAGCAAACTATGTAGAGAGAATCCTCTGCTTGAGGGCAATCCACTTGCACATCTTGTAAATATACATCTCAATAATCAGGCATTTATTGGTCTGCTCTTATTAATCTTTAGTCATTCCTCCAAAATGATGTTTTATTCTAATCATTGTCAAAGATAAGGAATTGTCCTTTGATTTGTAATTAAGTCTCAGAACCAGCCTTAGATACTGTTATCTCAAGGTCTGAGCATTCAGGACAGAAGACAGAAGCATTTCTCAAACTATTTCATTCCCAAAGATAAATGGTAAAACACACAGCTCAATTTAACATAGTGAATTGTTACTTTTGAACTGAAACTGGTCCTACTCATCACTATGAAGATAAAAAGCAACTACCCGCAGGTTTTAGCTCTGTCTTGGTATGTCTTTCTCAGATTTAATAGTGAACTCTTACATGCACCACTTTATTTGAAGTCCATACCAAGCAAAATTAGGTGGATTCCATATCCTTGTCTTCATAAATGAGGGAACTGAGGCTCAAAGAGCTCAAGTTCTTTTCCCAGGGCCACACAGAAAGTATCAGTGGCAGGATTGACTATATGCTTACTTTAAGTCTCCACTTTTTTCAAGGTTCATTTAAAAATCCTTTTTTTCTTTTCTTTTTCTTTTTTTCTTTTTTTTTCATTTTAAAACAAGGGAAGGGTGACAGGGCATTGGGAAGTGGAAAAGGGTCAAGGAGACAGCCTATATCAGCCAGAGTTATACAGTGCTCCATCTGCAGAACCATACACGCAGGCTTTGAAGAGGGAAAAAAGTGGGGACGAGCAGGCTTCTAGCTTTGTAGTCACCAGCCAGCTGCCTCCCTCATCCTTTGGCTAGGTACTCACCTGTTCTAAACCACAATTCCTCCTTTCTTTCCTGAAGGCTAAGGGGGTGTTTTTCCTCAGTTGTTTTTTTTAATCATCTTTCTCCCAGTCTTTAAAGTGTAACAGTCAAACTCGGGTGTCGGGGAAAAGAAGGGTGAAATGGCGGGTGGGCAGGTGGGAAGGCAGGCAGGGAAATAAACCCTCTGATATTGCTTTGATTTCTGTTTCTAGTTCTATAATGACAGATCTCACTCCAGTGCAGTATGTTTTGGAAATATAGTTAAAAGGGCTATGTCATTGTTTTTAGGTACACTTTAAGTGTTGACAAATAAAAGGCAAATATCAGAATGGAAAAACAGTTTAATATAGCATTTTTAAAACCTTTTAGTATTCTAAGGATCTGTGACCTGCTAAAATCTAATTATTTTTGCAATACCCTTTGGAATTGTTCAGAAAGATGTGGTAGAGTTTCTAACTGGTGCATTAAGCATCTGGCCTGACTTCACAGAACAGATAGCTGAATGTGCACTCTCTTGTATATTTTATTAACATCCCATAGGCTCATGCTAAGATGTTGTACTGATGTGCCCTGACATGCATCACTACCTGTTGACAGAAAAAAACTGGGCTAAACTTGAGAGGGTCTACAAATAGAAAATCTTTTAAAGATGTTTTGGCAATTTTAACAGAAACTCTAGCTTAAGAAAAAAAAAAAAAAGAAAGAAAGAAGTAAAAGAACAGCTTCAAGTTTATATGCCCAAGTTTCAGTATGCCAAAATCTTCTGATAATAATCTCCAGCATCTGCTCCTTCCTTCTTAAACTAACAGCATCCCATTTACCTTTGGGTCATGCCTGCCCCTCCATTCTTAGCCATGTGTTTGAGTAAGGTTGACCTTATCTACAGCTCCTACAGTGGGTTTAAGCTCATCAGCACATCTTCCCACCCCCATACAATAGGTTCAGGAATGAACATGTGATCAAGTTTAAACAAATGAGGAAGAGTGAACCCCAGGGTTCTGTGCAGGAGATCTTGAAGACTTCTTTCCCTTGAACATTGTGTTATGGGAATGTAATACGCAGAACTGTTACTGCCTAAGAGGAAATCCAGGAGCTGCCAAGGGTCCATTGTATAATATATAGTCTGAGGAAGTTGCCAACACTGAAAAAGGCAGAATAAGACAGCCAGAGAGAACCTATATTCTCGTTGATATATTTTAAGCCACTGTATCAAACTAAAGCCATACCACACATTTTAACTTCTCAATTACTTGAGCTGATGGATTCTAATTGTTGAGTAGGCAGTTAAGGCTTAGACCTTCAGTCACTTGCAACCAAAAGATTCTCAACAAATAATAGTCCAAGGCATATAATATACCAAAAGCATGAGCTGTTTTTTTGTTTTGTTTTTTCCCCACACAATTTTGAAGACTTCATTCTCATGAAGAATGCTGAGGGAAAACAAAATCATTAAGAATGTTTCTAAGACTTAACAGAACCTTAATTCATTCTAAGATTAAATCTCATAACATCATAGTTGGAGGTGGTTTGGGGACCAGTTAGTCCTACTAGTTTTTTTTACAGGGTTACTCAATGAATATGTATACAATAATGAATGAATGAGGGAGCTTAAGTCTATACAGGTTGGAAGACCTGGATTAAATGGTTCCAAGAAATAATTATGTATTTTACTCCCTTTCAGCTGGGAGTTGGTTACTAAAGGAGATTTGGAGGGTTTTTTGTTGTTGTCATGTTGTTGTTTTTTTTTTTTCCCTGTATACATGTAAATGGCAGAGCCTGGGAAACCTGATTCCAAATCCAATGTCCTCTGTTTTTCACTAGGGAACATCTCACATCTTCCCACAAAAACACAAAGTCCTTTGAGATGACAAGTTTAGACATTCTTAGAGTTTTAAAACTAGGATATATTATTGGAGTTCATTTCCAAACCAGTTGTTTTCAATCTGAAATACATTTTCTCATGTACAATGTTAGATTCACAGACTAGCCTGCAAAACAAAACACAAAACAACAACAAATATCATTTCAACTCAAAATGTCTACTAGAACTCAGCCGGGCACAGTGGCTCATGCCTGTAATCCTAGCACTCTGGGAGGCTGAGGCGGGCGGATTGCTCAAGGTCAGGAGTTCGAAACCAGCCTGAGCAAGAGCAAGACTCTGTCTCTACTATAAATAAAAAGAAATTAATTGGCCAACTAATATGTATAGAAAAAATTAGCTGGGCATGGTGGCGCATGCCTGCAGTCCCAGCTACTCGGGAGGCTGAGGCAGCAGGATTGCTTGAGCCCAGGAGTTTGAGGTTGCTATGAGCTAGGCTGACCCCACGGCACTCACTCTAGCCTGGGCAACAAAGCAAGACTTTGTCTCAAAAAAAAAAAAAAGTCTACTAGAACTCAACTAAGTTTTTAAGTACTAGAAACCGAGGCCATGGGATGCATAAGGACAACAGAAAAATAAATAAATAAAATCTCCAATTCTCCCTTACTTATCACCATTTCCTGGCTATAAAACTACTTCAGGCGGGGTGCAGCAGCTCATGCCTGTATTCCTAGAACGCTAGGAGGACAAGGCCAGGATCACTTGAGGTCAGGAATTCGAGACCAGCATAAGCAAGAGCAAGACCTCATCTCTACTAAAAATAGAAAAAATTAGTTGGGCATGGTAGTACCCACCAACAGTCCCAGCTAGTTGTGAGGCAGGAAGATTGCTTGAGGCCAGGAATTTGAGGTTACTGTGAGCTAGGCTAACACCACAGTGCTCTAGCTCAAGTGACAGAGCAAGACTCTGTATCAAAAAAGAAAAAAAAAGAAAACCTACTTCAGAGGGAAATTTGAGAGGTATGAAAAATGTGTTATTAGTCTCCTCTACCTCCCTTTGTACACTCTTCTCCAACTTCTTAATGTCTCTTTTTTCCAGGTGCTTGGATGTCCTCATCTTAGTAATGGCAGCTACCATTTTGTTGGGCACTTACTATGAGTCAGGGGACACTGAGCTAATAAACTCAAAGACATTAAGTAATTTATGGCAAAGCCAATATGGCACCCAGGTATGCTAGACTTGGAAGCCCATGTTCTTGAACATTAGACTACACTGGTTCCTCCACACTGAGCTGAGATCTTCCTGCTGTGACAATCCAATTCCTCTCTTCTTATCACAGCCTGAATGGCTTCATGCTGAAAACTGCCAGCCTCCCTTCCCCTTCAACCAGGACAGTCATCCCTTATTGCAGCTAACAGCCCTTAGGAAACAAAGGAAGAAAGCAATCTGAAGTAACTCATGGTAACTCCTAATGTTTCCAGAGATGGCACATACTATTTCAAAATAGGAATATATTATTATAAGTTCTTCTCCAACTAGCAGCAATTTAGGCAACTGATAAGAGCAAAAAGCGAAAAAATATGGAGGCAGCAAGAGAGTATGTATTTTTGGACAGGGTAGGATGACAGGAATTCTATTAAGAGTTTACCTCCAAAGTCAGAACCTCTAGTACAAATTACATTTTTCACAACTTTTTTTCCTTTTTCTACATTTTAGTACAAAATTTAAAAGGGGAAAAAAGCGACAGTACACAATTGGCATTCAATAACTTCTAGCTGTCTTTATTTGCCATGTGATGAAACCAAAGCCCAGAGGAGTAATATAAAGTCATATAACAAGTGGCAGCCTGGGAAGGGTAACCTCAGAACTTCCAAATCCCAGGCCAGTGTGCTTTCCTTTCGATACCAATACCGAAAACCCAAATATCCCATTTATCTTTCTTTTCTGTTTAAGACCTGCCTGAATAAAAACAAAACTAACTAACTATGGCTATAAACCCACAGGAATTTGGCTAGGCAAAAATTTCCTTTGCAAATAGAACCAATTCCCATCTGAAAATGGCTTCTAGAAATAATTATTTCATAAAATAATTTGATCCATGTGTTTGTTTTACAGCAACAGAAAAGAATCTACCCTTTCTTAAGAGATTATATGTTACTCCCACCTCCCTTTCCTCCAAAAATTCAGCAGCTGCATCTCAGTGTAACTTGTACTACCTAACAGTTCTAAGAAATTTGCTTTTCAGTAGACATTCAATAGAATTCTAAGACTCCCAGATTTGGTGGATCTGTCCTCTGAGGCCCCCAAAAGTACAATCATGGAACAAGAGGGGTCAACACACCTCTTATCAAGCATTCACCTCTACTTTGATATCACCCATTCTTGGAGGGGACCTCAGAAACTCAAACTGCTATCAATCATTTAAATAGATAAACTAAATGAATCCAATGAAGAAACCACAATCAAATACTCCTTGGAACAACAATTAGCTGGTCTCCTTTGGAAACATTCAGGGAAACCTTAAAAAAAGACATTTTAAAAAGTCATGTACCTCTAAGAATAAAGCACATAAAGATATTAATTTAAGGAAATTGCCCTCCAGGTAAATATAAACATAAAATTCTTCCTAGAAGCATTAGAAAGTGAAATAGTTAGTTAGTGAAAAACTTATGGGCCCAAAGCAATTGTTTAACCAAATAGCAGAAACCAGTCTATGAAAACCATAATTTGAAAATAAAAGTCTATAATTCTGTTAAATAGGCATAGAAATTTATAATCTCTGTTTTATAATTATCCAGTATTTATTCATGTACCTAAATTAAAATAATTTTAATCCAAGAAAAATCACCCTGAAAGATTTTTTTATAAGACATTTATATCTAAACCCCTCCTCAGAGCAGCGAAAACATATAGAAAGAAAAATATTTTATGTAATTCTTTTTAAATGTTTTATTGGGGGTGTCCTTAAATACAGACAATCTAAAATCTACTAAGTTATAAAGAAGACAGACAAATAACATAAGCATATGAAATATACTTTCATTTTCTAAAACATAAATAGAACAATAACTTACTCTTTACCTCCAAAAGAACTGTTTACTTCATTTTTTTTTAACCATTTGGCATTCCTGTTTTCCTTGCCCTAAATGAATCAGTGATGTGTTTATTTGTACCTTCTTTCTATTCATGTATTGCATAAGTATTCACAATTGGGGTTACTGGGCTACATCTTCCATAACTGTAACATCATTTTAACCAGTCAATAATAAAAATAATTTTATTTTGGTTAACTTCATTTCAACACAGATGGCTTAGAAATAAAAAGAAACATGTGTTTTTCTATTGTGATCTTAAAAATATCCTTCTAACATGCTTGCATTTTTTTGTAAGTGTGCTTACCACTACCTTGTTGTAGTAAACTTTAGAAAATGTTGAGATTCCAAAGAGCTGCCTACAAACCAAATGGCATCCTAGCTTTGGCAGGCTGAGTGCCTCATTTCGGCTTCTCTCGCCCCCTCTAGCGTTTGCAAAGCTCATCTGTCTGATTATCCAGTTACCTCACTGAACAAGAGCTTGCCTAAGTCCTGCCCATCTATGACATCACCCCCTTCTTCAACCACTGCGAGGTGAAGCTTTAAACTTCAGACTTGGAGGTGGGCTGTGTGCAGTAAACTGGAATGCTCTCCCTCGCGCACTTCTCAGTGTAGGAGTGCTCTGAAGCAGGACAAGCTCAGCCTGCAGCTGCCGTTGGCTTTGTGTAGACTGGACGCAAAGCTTGGGAAAGGGGGGAGGGTTATTGCTTCAATTCACAATCAATGGAATTACAGCAATAGCGGGCGGCAGTGTATATAGGATTGCTTTTCTCGTCTTCCTGGTAAGTGTTTTCCATATTTTTTTCTTACAATTGTCCCAGAAAGTTTGCTTGGTTTTACTTTCTAGAAAGAAATGACTTGGTACTATGAGGAATCCAAATAGGAACGTTTGTTCTGTCACGAGTACAAGCAATATATGTGCGTGCAAGCTAGCAAAGAAAAATTTGACTATATAGCCAAATGCAAGAAGTTTCCTAAAACCTTCTTTCAATTTTTAAAAATAATAAATGGATATTTTCTGTCTCAAGTAATTGCTATTTGAAAAGAGCCTTATGGAGAATAGCAAGTTGGAAAGTTAAATGTTAAAGAATACAAGACAGATTCTTCACAGATGGAAAAGCTAAAGGTCTTGCTAACTTGGTGTGTACTGTATGTGTGGTATGATCACCAATTGCTGTTTTTACAACTGTGAAGGAAAATCAATAATCCCTCAGCCCATGAGTACGCAGTACATGAAAAGCATACATCTTGCTCATACCTAGCCAAGCTACTCCTAGAGACTTATGTGCCTCTGTAAAGGATTAACAGCTACACCTAGATTTTAAAGCTTGCACTGCTATCCTGCCTGAGCTGCTTCAAGCATTTCAGGCTTGCAAATCTAAACTAGTAAATTCAACTAAGAGGGGAGGGAGACTCTCTTCCAAACCATATTCCCTCTTCAGTAGAAAGCCAAAATCCATTGCTTAGGCAAGTGTAGTATGTGACTAGCATAGTAAATGGCTAAGTCTACTCAGAAAAACTAACAAAGCTCATCCTGGAAGCTATGCCTGATGTATGGGAGTTTGGGATGGCTGGGGGAAAAAATAAATGAGTAGAGCCCTCATCAAGTGGGATATGCAGAGTATCCATTCTTTGCAACTTATAACAGGAAAATCTTACATTGGAAGAAACGAATTTATACTACAAAGCTTGAAAAGTAGATAAATCTTCTCAAAAAAATTTTTTTCATTGAATTAGGTCTGAAATAAAATGGTTGCATAGAGGTAAAGAGTGCAACAGGCCCCTATTTTCTCACCATCTGGAGGGTTAGTTTCTGTTTATTTAGAATTAAAAAAGAAAAAAAACCTTGATATTTTTCAATTATAGAACCAGTTTTACTATTTAGTTATTTTAGATTTTCTTAATAAATCTATCTGCTTTAAAATGCACATGTATATTATCTTATTAGCCTGAAACAAAATAAAACCACTAGAAAAGTGCTTCAGCTGTAGCAATGCCTTTCATTTATTCCTAACTGCATAAGAATATCCTGACCAGCATAAACATAAAGAATGCATTTGTCTGTTTTCAGGTAGAATCACTTATGCCTGACCCAAAGTGACAGATGACTAATACCTCTTTTGAAACAAGTAAAGAAAAAAATTAATCCTTTAAAAGTACCACAATAATGTTTATTTTACAACTACTGCAAATATTAATAATTGTATGCCAGGTTTTAATCATGAGAAGATTAAATCAGATATACCACTTAATTTGGACACATATACACACACATACATATATCTATTTATTGGCCTGAAATAAAAAACAGGATTATAAAAATGTGATTGCATGTATTCAACTAAAAAAATTACAGTTTACTTTTTTTTAATAGGGGACTGCCAAAACACATCAAGTCCAAGGATCAGCAAAAATATTAATGAATAAACATAATGAATTCATAAATGTTGTATTCCTGTGTAACTATCAGTTATTAATTGGCTTTTCATTTCTCTGTACCTGCCCCCCTTAAATCATTTATAGTTAGGTTCAAAATGCCCAGTTAAACATTTCCTAAACATAACGTTTGTGAAATACATAATTGGCAGCAAATAAAGTTTTTACAAAAAGGAGAAAAACAGTAAGAAAATTTGTCATAACTTAATGTGGCAGCAAAATAGAAGGTATGTTTCTTTTGCTTTCAAGTGTTAATTAAAGAGCCTCCAATTCTATCAAAACTTTTTCAGAGCTAAATGAAGCAGTGTGAAATAAATTTGGTTGAAATCTTGTGGCTGTCAGACTTTGTTAGCAAGCTATTAATTATCTTTACCCAGTTTCTTCTCTAGACTATATTGCCCAATCAAATAGAAACTCCAATTATGCTCAGCATCTCCTGCCTAGGGACACAGACCCTAATGAACACTCAGTCTCTCCAGATGAAAAACACAATAATCAGCTTTAAACATGCAAGTGCACTGCAGAGAGATTTTTCTGTGCTTTTCTTGGCCACACATCTTAAGGCTTTCCCGCTTTCTGGATTATTTTGACAATTTTAAGCCCTCCAAAAATCAGTAGCAGGGTATTTGCTTTGTCTTAATATTATATAAATGTTACTTCTTTCTTTTCATTTTTGATACACTAACATTATACCAATATTAAATTAATCTGGTCATTAAACAATATTTGGTTTAAAGTTGCCATTTCACTCAATTTTCAACTTCCCCTCTTTTTAAGGTGGGTGGGCTGCATAACAAAGAATGTGATCAATGGCAAGATCCAAAGCTAATAATTCTGAATAAACCCCATTATATGTTCTTTTATTCAAAGGAATTTATTTAAAAAGCATTATAAATAATTGTTTAAAGTCAAACGAAGACCACCAAAAATGAAGTTAACTAGGGAAATAAGATTCTGTAAATTTTTCAGAGGCCATAATTTCTCCCCTCCTTCTTTCCTCATCTCCCCCTTTTCCTCTTGCCCCCCACCTTTTGCCCCAGAGGCCTTCACTGTTCTTCTCAACGGGAGGCTTTGTTGTAATTAAACCAGAGAAAAACTGGCCAGCAGCAGCCAACATCTGACTTGCGGCTTCTGAAAGCAGTGTTCTGGTAGAGTGTACCACCCCCCAGCGGGCAAAAACTCTAAAGTAAATCTCTCGGAGATATTAATCCACAAAACTGCATTTTCTCTTAAGAGCATAAAAAGGGATGTTTCTTAACTCTAACATTCCACCATTTCAAAAATTTACCAAAAGTCAACAAACAAATTTCCAACAAAGAGATAGTTTGTAAAATGTCTTAAAGACAGTTTGAAAGCCATGTTTATATTGAATAAGAAAGGACTTTGATTTATCTATATACAAGAATCCCAGCGAAAATAGATTTTAAGTAGAAAGGGAATAAAACATAATTTAAATAATAGCTAACGTTTTGTTTTGCATATGTGTAATCTCTTTCTTACCATCAAATCAAGTGTTAGAAATGTATAAAAAGCTCTCTCCAGGTATTAGTCTGTTTAAATGAGAGGAGGGAGAATTCGCTCTCAATTGATGAGACAATGACAGCTTTTGTTCTTTATTCTTTCACTTTACATGTGCACAAGTTACCGTGGCAACTTTGAAGAGAACCCACAGACCACATTTGGTTAAACACCATTTTTTAAAGTGTGCCACTGGACTATGGATTGATCAGTTTATGTGTTGTTGATTATCTTCCTCTTCACCTGGTTTAAGTAATACTGACTTGGACGTGAAAAAGCAAGGTGTTTTATGATTTTAGATGGTCTCACTAACCAGCACAGTGCTTGCCACACACTTAAATATTAAAAATCTGAAGCATATCAATCAAATTTTACTCACACACTTAAAAAGGAATTTCAATTTTGTAATGGGAAAATGCTTGTGGTTTAACAGAAGTAAGCATACTTTTCATTACAATTGCTCAAAAGTCAGCACAAACTTAAAGCATGCCCCTTTCCCCAAGTTCTCTACTGCTCACCTTCACCACCCTCTAAATTAATATCTTATTCATTCTTACAAATCTTTGTTGTCTAATTCATTTAGTCTAGGTTTAATATCATAAAAGGAAGCAGCATTCACGATGATGAAAGATAATATCCCAGTTTGTCTTTTGTTTTTTTAAGGATGTTCGATTTAACTATACAAGCCAAAATAAATAAAGCAGAATTTGATTCACTTATCATAAACCTATAGAGGAAAACAGCTAGTAACAGAAAAGGAGAAAGTAAAAATCCTTAGCTTTGGAAATTTTATCCTCTGTTTTCCATAAATGAAACAAACCTTCTTAAGGCTAGAAAACAGTCTGGATAAAACCAAGTATGAAAAGGCAGACTTGCTTCTCTGCCTCTCAGCAAACCCTTCAGACTTCATGACTCTCAAGAGGAGAGTTAGAGGTCCTTCTGCTTGCCTGGCATTAAACAAAAGAATTGGAACTTTCCTGAAATCTGATGATCGTGGAAAATTTAACCACCAGACAGGCTGCTTAGAAAGCATTTTGCTGTCACTATCAACTAATCTGATGTACTCCAGTTTTTCAGTTTAACCATATATGTAGTTCATTTCAATTACCATTTGTTGTTGCAAAGACTTGGCATTCACAGGTTGTTCCTTTTCTTGGGCTTTCTAGCAGCAATTTAAGCCTTCATAAATAAATTACTTCCTAATATTCCAGATTATGATTGTATAAATTCCACTTTACCTAGAAATATTCACAAAGCTGAATAAATTTGACCAAGCATCTGCTTTTCTTCAAAGTTTTAACTCAAAATAATGTAATTAGCTTGGATTAAAAGTTCTACATGTCTTTCTAGCTTTTAGATTTAATATTTTTTAAAAGTTCCCAGCATTAAGAAATCATTAAAAAGAAACTAAAATCTCAAAACCTTATATTGGAATTAAGATTTTTTTTAAATGAGTAATGATCAAACAAGTCAAATCAAACTCAATTTAAATCTAAAATGGCAAATAAGGAATTTAGGAAGTTGGCACTATTATCATATAACTTCATCTTAATTTAAGTGATAGTCTCAAAACATGAGACATACCTTTTCATCTCAAACATTCCCACCTCTGAAATACTGTAGTAGCAGGGAAAGAATCATATAAACATGTAGATTGCCTCAAGTTCATGATTTTATTTAAATGTCAGTTTTCTATTCAGGTACAACTTCTTAAATTATATTGGTTTTCCTAAAATATCTCGAAACGATAGCATCCTTATCTATTTACATGTTTTCTTGGGTGTATTATGGAAACAAACTGGAGGCTTTTCAGACTGGATGATTACATTATAAATGCAAAAAAGTCCACGATTTTATTTATAAAGAGAAACTGAATAGAAGGATCCCTATTAAAAATTTGATTCACCAGTAAAGTGATTATGTTTTCTTCTTTTTTCAACAGTTTTAAGTGCTATATACTTAAGTAATGATTCCATTAAAAAATAATTTTAAAACATTGCATTAAGTAACCAGGGCTCCATTTATGTTTCTCCCCCAAGTTACCCCATTAACAATATTTTTCTAAAAGATCGATTCCTTTTTTGTTCAGAGGTAATGGCCTCTTTCAAGCCTATGCAGACAGAAAGCTTCTGAAGCCAGTATTGTGGAAACCTGGCCACAGTGTCCATGCTGGTGGGGGTCATTTTTCTTTTCATCATTCATATTAAACTGCAGTGTCTCTATGTGAGTGAATATGTAGATCCAGCTCAGAAAGGGGGAATTTAAGCATGGGGGTAGGATAGCTTATTTTTAGAGAGATCATTACAGCCTTTAATATGACAAAAACAAAAAACAAGAAAAAAACTGTTTAGTACTATATTTTCAAATATAAAGGGGAAGGAGAAGATATAAAACAAAACACAATGAAACATGAATGGAACTGTTTTGAGTTTACTGGCGTAGGGGCATGTGAGAGGAGCTATAAGCATTATCTTCATTTCTGAAAGAGTATCCTTCTCTCCTAAGAAACCTGTTTGATGTTTTTGCCTTTTGTTTTAATGCAATTTGGGGAGAAGAGAATGATATTTTCCAAGAACTTAATGAGATTTAAGGCTTTCTGTTAATCCCACATTATTACCACTATTGTATGAATGGCAAATGTGAGTTTGCATATCAAACAGCAGAGGAAGCAGTTTCACAAATGTAAAACAGGTAAAATAAACAAATTAATCCTCCTTTTCACACCAATTTAGATTTTTTTTTCCTTTCTCTAGGTTAAAAATGTGAAAATCAATACATATTCTTAGAGCCTGATTAGGTGAAATGTATATATAGTTCAGATACAAGAAAAGAGGCAGTTATTTTATATCTGGTTATCATTATGATCATCACCTTGGACACAGGATGGTCTGAACTGACTCAGGGAACAATCAATTTTTAAATCCCTGTTCAGCAGATTCATCATCTCAGCTTTAAAGTATGTCTTGCCTCACCTGTATCCCTGGAATATGAGAAATGCTCAACTATTAGTAACATTTTAAGCAGGTCTTCACTTGTTATTTTTATAATGCTTTTTAATTAGTTTCTCGTGCAATTTAACAAAATTGTTTTCTAAACTTAAATTAACCACATTATTTTGTATGTTGAATAATTTTCAAGTTTAAAAAACATTTACAGCAGATTCTTTTAAAAGTAACTTTGAAATTTCAACTGCTTAATTTTCCATTTTCAAACACTGAGAAAGCAACAGTTTTCAAGAGAATATACTATTGAAATTCGACAATAATGAGCAAAGCCCTAAAGGCATTACAGTAAAACCTCACATTAAATAATAAATCATTTAAACCTTCCTCTGTGGGTACTTTGCAATATTCACTAGAGACTGCTTTATCCATCTGCTAACTTCCATTTTTGTTTCAAGTTGCCTAAATAATAAATTATATGTATCTATAATTTTTTAAGTTTTCTTTTGTTAATATAGTCTGAGACAGTGTTGGTATCTAGTTGGCAATCTTAAAGAAACTGAATTTTCAAGGAGAACCAGCAACACAAATTACGGCCTTATTTAACATACATTTTCAATAGAGTATTTGAATTATGGAACAGATGCTATCCTTGTTGGACACTAGGTAATAACTGGGGGAAAAGCAAATTGCTACTTCTTTAGTCTTTAATTTCAGGGTCAAACATTATCATGATATCCAAATGTTCCCTACGTGTATAGAAAATACCTGAGTGGGTGACCCTGTATAACTGATTCTGATAAGTACTCAGCTTCCCAAACTCCTTAAAAATCTTCATGCATGTTAAATGGGCAAAGCAGTCAACATTAAAATCAGTCTCATCTCATTAGTCAAGCCAAAAGTCTTCTTTCAGAAATGCAAAATGAACTTACTGAAAATTAGCATGTTCATGTCTGAACCTAGAGAGAAATGCCCCATCAGATTTTGATATGCTTTCCTAATGGTCATCACAAGGAGATGGATTGAAATAATACTGTCCTTTCTATTCCAAATACAGATTTTTCAAGTTGAGTGTGCTAAAAGAAAATTACAATAGTATTCTCCAGAAAAATGAAATATAACTCGAGCTTCTATGCCACCCTTGGGGCAAGAACACCTGAGTGCCTAGAGTTCCAAGATCATCAAGTAGTCCTTAGATGCACCCCTAAAGCGGAAGGTGATGATGTCCACATTGGGCAATTGGGAAAATTGAGACCGGCTGGAGGAATCAAACTAGGCGCTAAGCAAATCAAAAGAAAAGCTTTAAAACAAAGTCTTTTCAACTCCTTAAACTGTGGATTGTGTAATTTTGTAAAACCATGTTCTAAAATGTCTAAAAAGTTACCTTAGCATTTTTGTCAAAAATAACCCTATTATGTATTTGCTCACCCCTTGACATGTATTTGTTTTCTTTTTTTAAAAACATGTCATCCTTTTATGCCTATGATTTAAAAGGCATAGACTTTAAACTTCCAAAGATTGGTCTGTATTTGGAAAGGCATAGAAGGGGTTCATGGCCCCTTGAATGAAGCTTTGCTTCTCTGTTTAATTCAAAGTGACAACAGTCTAGTTGTTTAATTCAAAGTGACAACAATCAGTTAACACTAGAAATTATCTGTTTGATGACAGTCTCAACTTCGACTCCTACTTCATTTATATAGTAAAATGGGAAGCCTAAAAACAAAGAGGTCAACCTATCCCTTTCCACCAACTACTATTACAAAAAATGTATTGCTTAAAGAAAGAATTGAAGTTAAATCTCTAGGAAATTTCTCTAGTATGTTAAAGTTCATTATTAATAGTTCATTAAAACCTTTTACATTCACAGGAGGTGCTCAGTTCCAGTATACTTTAAGGAAGAAAAATATAAAGGAAATTTAGTATACTTCCTTTTCTTTCCATGAAGAATAATTGAATTGTTTCCTATTCCTCTTAAAAGAGAATACCTGTTCTTATATCACGTGACTGCACCAGAAATTCTGAGAAAGCAGCAAGAAGCAAAAGCTGGAAATAGCTATTTCACAGCAGGTAATCATACATCAGGATGTAGCTACTGTACAAAGTTTATATTTGGATAATCCTGGATGGGAATAAAGGTAGGGGGTAACTGCCTGAAAAACCTATTACTATACAGGCCTTAGCATCATGAATGGCTTTCTTCATGAGGATCTGAAGTTACTATCTCTGACCACATTGCACAGAAGAGCCAATAAGAATTTCAAAGAGGGCAATTTCCACTAAGGGAATTAAGCTACACAAAAGGAACCTTCACACAGAAACTCTATCAGAAAGAAAAAAAAATACATAGGAAGCCATGTGTCTTACATAGTAACAGGAAGCTGAATTGTTTCTGGCCCCTACTTTAATGAGCTTGCCCACCATGCTGAACCGCAGCTGGAATGTTCATTGACAACAGCAAGCCTGATCTGGAGGTGTATGCGGCATAGGATTACTTGAATAAACAGTGAAGAACATTTCCAAGGACTAAACAAAAGTTTGTAAGTCCCAGCCCCTCACCAGGAAAATAATATATGTGCATTGGATATTCACCCACGCAAAATTTACTGACATCGTTCAATAAGGTAGGAAAATGTTAAAAGTATTTTATTTTCATGCCTAAAATTATAAAGGCTGATTAACACTTAAAAGTACAGAAGAGATTATATTACACAATAGATTGGTATAAATCTATACTTCTCTAGCCATAGGAAAAGTTGAATCATGTTCTAGGTTAGAATTTGAAGAAACATAAATGCACTGTGAAAACATGTTATGAGATAGAAAATAATAAAAAATGTGGATAAGGTCATTAAACCATGTAGTATAAAACATAACAAAATGGAAAGAGAGAAGACATAGTTTAACACAAAATGGAATTTTCCACTTAGACTAGCTAGATGTATTAGCTATGCAGTTCTTTTTCAAAAGTAAATGAAAGATTCCTTCTCATCTTCTTGCTAGAAATATCTTTTAAACAATGTCTAATATTAATAATCAAATCAAATTATTGGCTTTATTGAGATTGAAGATACAACTATTTCTGAATACTAAGAGAACAGGTTTTTTTACTACTTATTTCTATACCTGTTTAGTCCTTTGCCTAATAAGAAACAGACATAAAAATTTGTTTTTTAAGAATAAAATTATCTTTAAATATAACAAATCATATTCCTCTATGTCAAGTATTATGAATATTAAGAAAAAATTAGAAATTTGATTAGCTTAGTCAGTGACTGGTTATAAGATTGATATCAAGTATAATAAAAATACTTTAGACTATTCAATAAAACTGTAATTCTATTTAGCATTTCAAAATAAAATGGATTTAGGACATGATACTTTCTAATTTTTATACCAGAAACAGTTAAGGTAAAGAGATTATATGATTGTACTCATTGTAAGCTAGCAATAAGCCCTAAGCATGCCCCTCCCAAAATTAAAACATTAAAATTGATTATAGATATTTTAGTTTCCACATCTGTTTTAAAGACTATTTTCAATATACCGGTCTGATTGTTTTCTGTCTTTTTTAATCACTTCATTTTAGGGTTCTGGAGCAACGGAAGCTACCTTGTATAAAGACCTCAACACTGCTGACCATGATCAGCCCAGCCTGGAGCATCTTCCTCATCTGGACTAAAATTGGGCTGTTTCTTCAAGTGGCACCTCTGTCAGTTATGGCTAAATCCTGTCCATCTGTGTGTCGCTGTGATGCGGGTTTCATTTACTGTAATGATCGCTCTCTGACATCCATTCCAACAGGAATACCAGAGGATGCTACAACTCTCTACCTTCAAAACAACCAAATAAATAATGCTGGGATTCCCTCAGATTTGAAAAACTTGCTGAAAGTAGAAAGAATATTCCTATACCACAACAGTTTAGATGAATTTCCTACCAACCTCCCAAAGTATGTAAAAGAGCTACATTTGCAAGAAAATAACATAAGGACTATCACTTATGATTCACTTTCAAAAATTCCATATCTGGAAGAATTACACTTAGATGACAACTCTGTCTCTGCTGTTAGCATTGAAGAGGGAGCATTCCGAGACAGCAACTATCTACGACTGCTTTTTCTGTCCCGTAACCACCTTAGCACAATACCCTGGGGCTTGCCCAGGACTATAGAGGAACTACGCTTGGACGATAATCGAATATCTACTATTTCATCACCATCTCTTCAAGGTCTCACTAGCCTAAAACGCCTGGTTTTAGATGGAAACCTATTGAACAATCATGGTTTAGGTGACAAAGTTTTCTTCAACCTAGTTAACTTAACAGAACTGTCACTGGTGCGGAATTCTCTAACTGCTGCACCAGTAAACCTTCCAGGCACAAACCTGAGGAAGCTTTATCTTCAAGATAACCACATCAATCAGGTGCCCCCAAATGCTTTTTCTTACCTAAGGCAGCTGTATCGACTTGATATGTCCAATAATAACCTAAGTAATTTACCTCAGGGTATCTTTGATGATTTGGACAATATAACCCAACTGATTCTTCGCAACAACCCCTGGTATTGTGGGTGCAAGATGAAATGGGTACGTGACTGGTTACAATCACTACCTGTGAAGGTCAATGTGCGTGGGCTCATGTGCCAAGCCCCAGAAAAAGTTCGTGGGATGGCTATCAAGGACCTCAATGCAGAACTGTTTGATTGTAAAGACAGTGGGATTGTAAGCACTATTCAGATAACCACTGCAATACCCAATACAGTGTTTCCTGCCCAAGGACAGTGGCCAGCTCCAGTGACCAAACAACCAGATATTAAGAACCCCAAGCTCATTAAGGATCAGCGAACCACAGGGAGTCCCTCAAGAAAAACAATTACAATTACTGTGAAGTCTGTCACCTCTGACACAATTCATATCTCTTGGAAACTTGCTCTACCCATGACTGCTTTAAGACTAAGTTGGCTTAAACTGGGCCACAGCCCAGCATTCGGATCTATAACAGAAACAATTGTAACAGGGGAACGCAGTGAATACTTGGTCACAGCCCTGGAGCCTGATTCACCCTATAAGGTATGCATGGTTCCCATGGAAACCAGTAACCTCTACCTATTTGATGAAACTCCTGTTTGTATTGAGACTGAAACTGCACCCCTTCGAATGTACAACCCTACAACCACCCTCAATCGAGAGCAAGAGAAAGAACCTTACAAAAACCCCAATTTACCTTTGGCTGCCATTATTGGTGGGGCTGTGGCCCTGGTGACCATTGCCCTTCTTGCTCTTGTGTGTTGGTATGTTCATAGGAATGGATCGCTCTTCTCAAGGAACTGTGCATACAGTAAAGGGAGGAGGAGAAAGGATGACTATGCAGAAGCTGGCACTAAGAAGGACAACTCTATCCTGGAAATCAGGGAGACTTCTTTTCAGATGTTACCAATAAGTAATGAACCCATCTCAAAGGAGGAGTTTGTAATACACACCATATTTCCTCCTAATGGAATGAATCTGTACAAAAACAATCACAGTGAAAGCAGTAGTAACCGAAGTTACAGAGACAGTGGTATTCCAGACTCTGATCATTCACACTCATGATGCTGGAGGACTTGCAGCAGACTGTGTTTCAGGTGTTTTAAACCTAAAGAAGGTGATGGTAGGAATCCTGTTCTACTGCAAAACACTGGAAAAAAAGAGACTGAAAAAAGCAATGTACTGTACATTTGCCATATAATTTATATTTAAGAACTTTTTATTAAAAGTTTCAAATTTCAGGTTACTGCTGCGATTGATGTAGTGGAGATGCCTGAATACAATTCTATATTTTAGTATTTTTTAGTAATTTGTACTGTATTTTCCTTGCAAATATTGAAGTTATAAACCATTTACTTTGTGTTCTACTGAGTAAGATGACTTGTTGACTGTGAAAGTGAATTTTCTTGCTGTGTTGAACAATCAGGACTGCGTTCACATGAGATCCTTGTAGTATAAGCACAGGCCATTTTTCACTTTGGTATTAATAAAATGTAAAAAAAAATAACTTGGCTGAATGAGAAAAATTAAATTTCAAAAAATAGTTATAAAATAATGTTCCAATTATTAAATTTGTATTATCCTAGTGGTATTCAATAAATCAAAATGTGAAGTAATGGGCAATATCAAACTTGCTGCATATCTCCATTTTTGCTCTAGGCAAATTAGATATTCTTAAGAAAGTTAAGCATATCTTCTGAACTGAGGACATCAGGTGGCATAAAAGGAGTGTGAAGTCCATTATAAAAGCCACTGTCAACAAAGCTTTAAGAATAAATGACTTCACAAAAACAATAATGTAAGTGTACTTCCAAGTTAGGGGGGAAATGTATACTTAGGAAAACATGAAAACTTAGACTTTTATAGTATAATGAACACAAATACCAAAATTGCATTTTGGTTTTGCCTATACCTTCCTGATTTCTGAAAAGTAAATTCTGACCACAAAATTGTTAGTGTTTATGATATTTTTATCATAAAGATGTCAAAGAGAAATCTTACACATATTAAAAATGTAGTGTAACTATAAGCAATTCCCCTCAACATTCCAGAGAAAGTAATATTTTAAGTAACAGAAAATTTCAAAGAAAAATAATTACTAGAAATCAAATTTAGATCTGGTTTATGTGAAATGTTTTAACACTGTACATAAATGTTCAATTTACGTTCACAATGATCAGGAATACTGCCCATTACTGTCACAGTTCTCCAGATATTACATAATGAACTTGTAACATTTCTTTCTAGCTTCCTACTGAATTGTGAGCTATTACTTGTTTAAAAACCATATCACTTTTCAGTTGCCATGATTCTATTTTTTTTAACAAAAACCAAAGTGCATTGTACGCCCTTTGGCCAGTCTTGTATGTGCCTTGATCCAACGCTACATGTATTCAGCTTTTAAAACTCGACAAATTTTTCATACTTCCTTAAATATGAAAAATTATGGTCTTATTGCTGAATAAAACTTAAAAAAAAGTACAGATAATTGTGCTTGCTTTTTCGGGATTATGTTACTATCACTAAGTAGCAAATTGCCCAGCACATTAGTCCTAAACACCCCATGTATTTTTCTAGGCATAAAAATAAAAGTTGGCTACAAATAAAAAATAAATAGCAATATTTTGAGGTTGTGTATTATTTTACTTTGAAGAGTTTAGTGTTTCATGTATAAATTCATTTCTTCTTATTTTACTTATTCAGTCTATAGATGGAAAATGGTTGCAGGGTCTTTCCTTCTCATGTGCACTGCTGCCATTGTTATGTTACTTTTTAAGGTGGTCTTTGAGAAACTAATTTTTTTAATCGGCTTTTGGTAGTAGAATGAGTTGGCATCTGTGACACTGTGAAAAATATATTTGGTCTTTGACCCTGTTTCCTGGCATACAACTCCTAAAATCCTTAGACTTTCCAAAGTGATGTCTTTTTGTATGCTAATGAGTTGGCTGATGGCTGCCAGCCCCTAGGTTGCTTCATGATGGGAGCTGGTCACTGGAAAGACCAAGGCATGACTAGAGTCTGGGGACTTTGAGCCCACCTAACCTCAGGGGATGGCGGAGGGGCTAACGGTTAAGTTGATCACCAATGGCTAATTTAATCAATAATGCCTATATAATAAAGCCTCCATAAAAACCCAAAAGGCCAGGGTTCAGAAAGCATATAGATAGCTGAACAAGTAGGGGTTCCTGTTGGGTAGCATGCTGGAGAGAGCATGGAAATTCTTCATACTCTCACACCTCACCCTATGCGTCTCTTCATCTGTATCCTTTGTAATATCCTTTATAATAAATCAGTAAATGTGTTTCCTTGAATTGTGAGCCACTCTAGCATATTAATCAAACCCAAGGGAAGGGGTCATGGGAACCCCAACTTGAAGCTAGTTGGTCAAAAGTTCCAGAGGCCCAAACTTGTAACTGGTGTCCGAAAGGGTGGGGGTGAGGGCACAGTCTTGCGGGACTGAGCCCCCAACCTATGGGAATTAATGCTGTCTCCAGGCTGATAGTGTCAAAATTAGATTGAATTAGAGGACTCCCAGCTGGTGTCTGCTGCAGAATTGATTGCTTGCTTGGTGTGTGGGGAGAATCCCCCATACATTTGGTCACAGAAGTCTTATATGTTGATTATTGTTGAGTAAGAGTTTAGAAAAAACACTTTGAGTTTGTTTTTTCACACACAACTTCAAAAGACTTTGAAATCTCAGGTCTACTGCTTGGTATAAGTATGTACTTAAAACCAAACCACTTCTTCCTAGCTCTGTTTCCATATCTTTAAAATGGGATAGTACCACTCACCTCACAGTGTTGTTGTCAGGATTAAATAAGATGACATGCATGAAAACTGTATAATGTTCTACAAAATATAAGTTACTAATATTATGGTCAACAAAAGTCTGTCATGTTTTCCCAGAGATTTTGTAGGTTTCACTGCTTCTACTATTCTGACAAAGAGATATCTCCAACTGACTGACTATGAAATCTTATTCATTATTCATATGTCACCTTCAAAATGTTTCCCAACACTTTCTCTTTTGACTTCCTGTTATGGAGTATGGTTGTCTTCTGGGAACAACTTAAAGACAAATGTGATTAATATTGAATGTGTGGAACATTTTCTAAAGGAAGTTTGACTTTGCTACTAAAGGTTTTGAGTAGTTCAAATTATAGTTCTACCAAAAGTCAGGAAATGGGCTAGATATTTCCATAAAGTCTTAGAAACCTATGGTTTATAACAAGCCAAAAATCAAGAGATTATATTGACATTTTCCAGTTAGTATACCTTTCATGAGTACAGAAAGTTTTATGTATGTTCTCATATATATTTTTTTATTATTTTACCTGGAATAAACCAGAAACATGTTTTATACCACCAAATCCAAAGAGCACCAAGGGGGTAAAAGTTTATTCTTTACCTAGGCTTGCTATGAAATCCATATGCTTTGAAAATATATTTTTTTTTCAGTAGAATATCAAGACCTTAAATACACTAAATAAATTATACACACATTTCCATATGTCCCAAACTAAATGTTCATAATTTTTATGGATGAAACTAAACTCCAAATCAGGTACTGGCAGAAAATTATAGGAAAAACATCCAATCCTAAATATATAGCATATAGATTCAACAAGAATACAACTGGGAAAACTAGAAAAAAAGTTGAGGGAAAAATGACTCCCTTGCTGAATGTTTAACAAAAATCAAAAACTGTTTTAGATGCAGCCACTTGTAACTGTATTAAATCACTGCACTTACTCTCATTCCCTATTAAATATAATACTATGCTCTATCTTTCAGCAAGGCTGATTTATTAGAAGTGTTCCCCTGTACCAAAGGAACTAGTAAAAAACTCTGCTTTACTAACTACAGCTTCTGACTAAAACACATTTTATAGCTACATGCCAACATGACACTTTTCACGAGGAATCCAAAGAACCTACATGCTTTTAACCACCTGAAGAGTGGGTGTTAAAGGAATGAATCCCCCACTGAATTTAATATTAGCTCATCTGCTGCTGAAAACAGCAGTGGCATTTAAAATTCTAATTCCTTTCTCCTACTTAACATGATTAGCAAATCTTAATTTAGCATCATCTTCAAATTACAACTACTGTACTTTTTGTTTTGGGACTTACGGTTAAATTAGCAAAAAAAAAAAAAACTTCACATTTATCAATCACTTTCTGAAGAACTTCAGAGTTCTTTACAAATAGTCTTAACAAGCCAATGACCTTTCCTAAGTGCCTTTTATATTATATTATAAATAGGAGAAGCCTTGCCTTCAAGAGGTGTGCTGTCTAGAGATTGTAAGGCATAAACATATAATCTAAAGAAAGTTTACAGCTGTTGCAGCATAGAGGAACATGCAATAATTACATCTGTTTACATGGATCAAAGAAGTCATCATGAAGGACATAAAATTAAGGCCTGGTGTTGAACGGTAAAAAGGAATTTAAAGAGAAAGCAAGAAAAGCAGATACCAGCCATGGAGTGAAAATGGTGGGGAAAAAAAAATCACAGAGATAGAAGAGTGGGTAAGGCTTTCTAGCCCTGGCTTTGGTCAGAATCACTTGGGGAGGTCTTTATTAAGATAACCAGGCCACAATATAAACTTACTAAATTAAAATCTCCCGGGTTAAGGCTAGGCATTTCTATTTTTTAAAATCCCCAAGGTGATTCTGATGTGGTTGAGGATCACTGATTTAGGAGGTGTTTGGTTAAGGTGAAATGCAGGGTCCTTGAAGAAGGTAAGACTGGAAGGTTTTTTTTAAAAAAATGTTAGGCTTTGTAGGGTGTTGAATTCCAAGCTGAAAAGTCAGCATTCATATTCTTTGGCAATTATTTTTGAGCAGGTGTATAAACAATCAGTGCACTTGAGGAACATTTTGTGGGAATAAAAAATATTGCATTAAGAATGAATGGAGAGAAACTGGTAGCAAGAAGACAAGTTAGAAGGCTGTGCAGTATTCCAGAGGAAATAAGAGCCTAAATGGTGCATTGCCAATGGATTGGGTTTTTTGTGTGTTTTTTTTTTTTTTTTTTGAAAAATAAAAAGTCTAATTCAAAAGGCATGTATGTTAATAGCAAAGAGTAGGATGTTGAAGATGAAAAAGATTTTAGATTTCCAGCACAGGTAAGCAGAACGTTGGCAAGGCAATTAATAAAGATGGAAAACAATTGAAGAGAAGATTTCAGAGTGTTCTGTAAATACTGGGTTTGAATGGGGGACTATAAGCACAGCACAGGTTCACATCTGCTAATTATTAATAGTACCCTCTTTAATCCTCCATAATGACCCAGTTTAGACAATAAATTAAAATCACCTTAGGTTTGAAGTACTTTTATATTTCTGGAAATATGTACAGGAGGTTAGAAATGAGATCCTCAGCATCAAGGAAGGGAATCTATATCTAAGAGGTCATTATTGAAGTTTAGTGGGCAGATAAGATAGTCAACAGAAAGTCAGCAGAGAGAGAAAAGAGATGCCAAAGGAACATCTATCCCATGTATGGGGAGAAGAGAGAGATAAATCCAAAACAATGAAATAACAAAAAAACCAAACATATAAAAAGAGGGGTCATAGAGGAGGAAAAATAATCAAGGAAAGAAAATATTATAAAGCCAAGTAACTAAAAGTATTAACAAAGGATGATGTCAAGAATGTAATCAAGATAAATACATAGAAGAGGACATCACTGAATAGAGAAAAGGAAGAGCCCCTCAGGGGTTATGCAAGCTGTGTCTTCAGAGAATGAGGCAAAAGCCTCTAAGGTATTGATAGGATAAGGGGAGATGAAGAAAACAGAAACAATGATTAGGACTACTTAACTTTTTAAGAAGTTAAGAGAGTGAAGGAATCTTGGTGAATCATAGATTTATTTATTTATTACCTAAATTTATTTATTTATTATTACCTGAATAATAAGATGGGATATAGAGATAGGAATCTACAATGAGGACAGGGAACATATTTAATAGGGGAAAAGAAAATTAAGATGCCCAAGAGGTGGGGTCCAAGTTAAAGCTGTAACTCTAAGATGACTGAAGTTAAAGGCTGTGACTAAGAAGCTATAGTTTTGCAAGAATTGGTAACAAGGAAACACAGTCACTGAGAGAGATGGAAAGGGTTGGTATGAAGGTAAGGTTTGCAATGCAGGTCCTAAGGAAGATGGGGAAATGTCCCAGAGATGAAGAGGATAGAGAAAATGATAGGATTAGGGAATACAGATGTACAACACAAACTTCAGAAGAAAGGTTTTTAAGTAATGATGACAGAAACATAATCTTTTAGGGTTGGGGAAAAAAAATTTGAGACTACCTACCTACATTCCACAACCCTCCCCTCTGATAGTTTCATTAAATAGTGGTAGTAAGAGATGGAGCAAGTAACAGGGAGGGTATCATTGTCAAGCAACAAATGTCAATTAATTCAAGGTTGTGGAAAGAATGCTAAGAAAAATGTCAATCACATGGGAAATTGGAACCCAAAAAGGAAAAGATTGAAATGGGCCCAGTAGAAGCAATTAAGGAGATGGGCCAAATTGGAGGGTCATGGAGGTCATGAAAGGGACATGAAAGGGACATGAAACAGGAAAGCCGAACAAGGAAGGGTGTTGTGCATAGGATTCTAACATATGATCACAGGTAAAAAGGTTGCTGTGCATGAGAGGTCAGTGGAAACTCCTATTCTAAAAAGTATAGACATCATGAACAAATGAAAAATAAGAAGTATAATAACCAAATTAACTTTGCTCTATTCTTTGAACATCAAAACAGAATTAACTCCAACTTTATCTTAAAATGCACACTGAAGAAGTATTTCTCCCTATGCAAACTTTCATCACAAGTATCATAGGATTCCAGGCAAAGGGGTAAGCAAATCACATTATGTACCTCTTCTACTCCCTACCCCCATTCCATTTTTATATTATATGGGTAAAATGAGATTAGAAATGAAGTTTAGGGCTGCATTCAAAGTTTTTTTTTTCTTCTTTTTTAAGAGATTTCAAAAGGAAGCATGCACCAACTTGAATAAAGACGATTAAAAAAAGGAAGCATGCAGCCACAGGGGTGTGGAAGTTAAGGATAATGGGATTTTACAGACTGATTGTGTGCACACATAAAAGCACTGCTTCTTTTTCAATGACAGCTGGCTGGAGTGGAGGCAGGATAGTCTAGGCAATTACTACCCAAAGTAATTACCCTGTTGAATGTACATTGGGGCTCTGATAATTACATTACAAAGCTGAGGCTAGTTCATATCAATGTTCCATTAAAAAGCATGGAATCACTGCTGGAATTCTATGTTTCAATTCCCTTGCAATGGGGACCAATGTTAATGTACATACCCAATAAAGACTAGGTAAAACAAAGTCTAACAAAATTCTTTCTTTTTAAACTATGTTCTATAGATATTAGTGATGTCTTACACATACAGTGAGCTTATTAAGTGCCTGATGATTATGTTACTCCTGCTGCCGATTCTACCGTTTGTTGAGGACTTTGTCAAGCACAGTGCTAAGTATATTACATATTTTAATCTCATTTAAGTCACACAGTAACTTTACAGATAGGAATTATTATCCTTATTTTTCAGAAGAGCAAATTAAGACTTTGAACAGTCATAGAGATTTGTTATTCATTCACCATTAACAATGATGTATTGAGAGTATCTACTCAATAATTCTGCTTGGGGCTGGATCTACAGCAGTAAACCAAAAAGACATGGAGATTATAGTTGGGGGAGGGCAGGAATTCAGATGTTAAACAAAAGCCAAATGAATATAAAATGAAAAATTGTGACAGGTGCCATGAAAGCAAAAAACATGATGCCATGAGTAAGCATAACAAAGGTGGTAAGAGAAAACCTAAGACCTGAGGGATAAAGAGTCAGCCATGTGAAGAGTAAGATGGAAAGTGTTCTGAGCACAGAAAACAGAATGTGTTAAAAGTTTGAAATAGGAAATCAGCTTAGTATGTTTAAAAATTGAAAGGATGTCAGGTGGCTCATGTTCTGTGAGCAACACATAGGTGAGATTAGCAAGGTAGGCCTGAGTAAGGAGTCTGGACTTCATTCTAGTGTAAGGGAAAGCCAATGGAGGGTTTTTAACAGGGTAGAGATAGTAAAAGGGGAGAAGGGAGGGGGGAGATTGTGTGGGGATCAGATTGTCAGATTTCAATTGTAATAATTGAAATTATTGGAGTGACCAGCTACTGTATTATTATACGGTCTACTGGAGTGACTGGTAGCTGGTCACTCCAGCTACCGTATGGAGAAAAATTAGTAGCATGGAACAGGATGATGATAATGAGTAGAGAGAGGTGAAAAGATGCTCAATATATTAAAGCTATAATGTAATCCTTCCTAAAGTTGTATAGTTAGTAAAGGGTGAAATAAAAATTCTGTTTTCTCCTGAAGCTTGGATTCTTACCCATTCTCTTAAATAAATAGTGAACAGAAACACTTCTTTGGTCACTTTATAAAAAATTTGAGTAGAGGAAAAAAATTATTTCCTTTTACTAACAGCTAGAAGACTTTTCAGATTAAATCTCAAAATATTTAATGGGGCAAATGTGACTTTTTCTCCCAAGACTTACAGCCCTATGATGCTGAATGGTAACTTCTGGTCATCAATAGTCAATGATCACAAACTACCCTGAGAGTAACACTTCTCTTTCTTGTAGCTTTCAACTACAAGCTGCCAACCAACTGCCAATTCAGAGTTGGCAGACAAATCTCAATGTCTGGATTTACAACACCTTTCATGATCCCACTGTCTCTTCCAAGGGCCATAGTGTACAGAATGGAAGTGCCAGATCACTGAAGCTTTTCCCAGACTTTGTGCAATTCAGTCATGTAACTCATAAGAGTATTACTACCTAGTTCACAAAAGTAAAGAAGGCCAAGTATATTTAACGTTTTTTTCAATAATTTTTATAAAAAATTAATCTTTGAATTATTGAAATGCTTTATTTAAAGTATGCTTACTAGACATACATAAGGACAGGTATTAGAATCTATATTTACTCCATGCTTTTAGCCAATGTGTCATAGAATCTTAGAGCTAGAAGAGATTTAATCAATTTTGGTGATATATATTAACCACTAAATTTTTTAAAATCCCACCATTGTTTTAAAATACAAAAATTTGGAAAAAAAAGTTTGTAGTTGATCTGTAATAAGTTTACAGTTTTTTAAAAGTCCATAATGGGAAAATATGTAGCTACTGTATGTCTCACAATTATGTTTCTAGCTCAGGCATCCTCAAACTGTGGCCTGAGGGCCACATATGGGCCGCCTAGCACATTTATCTTGCCTCCGGGTGTTTTTGCCACCACTGCCTGTCCTGCTTAGCAGCCGACGGGTCCCAGGCCCACAGTGCACACTCTCCAATGGTCTGAGGGACAGTGAACTGGCCCCTTGTTTAAAAAGTTTGAGGACCCCTATATCCAGCTACTCGGTTAACTACTAGCTCACAGTATTTATAAGAATTAGATTCTATGCCTGTAATCCTAGCACTCTGGGAGGCCGAGGCAGGCAGATCATTTGAGCTCAGGAGTTCAAGACCAGCCTGAGCAAGAATGAGAGATCCCGTCTTTACTAAAAAAATATAAAGAAATTAGCTGGACAACTAATATACAGAAAAAATTAGATGGGCATGGTGGTCCATGCCTGTAGTCCCAGCTACTCAGAAGGCTGAGGCAGGAGAATCACCTGAGCCCAGGAGTTGAGGTTGCTGTGAGCTAGGTTGATGCCATGGCACTTTAGCCCAGGCAACAGAGTGAGGATGTGTCTCAAAAAAAAAAAAAGAGTTAAATGCTACTTTTACTGCCATTATTATCTAATATACTTAATATTTTACTTATGTGTTACTATCCATCTCTGCCATTAAAATGCACACCCCATGAGGACCCCAAGGATTTTTTTCCTCTTGTTTCACTGCTAAACATTTTCAACATATAGAACAATGCCTGGCACTTAGTAGACACTTATAAAGTATTTATTGGATGAATGAATAAAATGAATAAGCTTCAAACAG